GTATCTGAATTATAGCTGTTGCAAGAGAGCTTTCACTCCCATAGAGATAAGGTCCCTTGAATTGAGTATGGCTGGCATGGGATAACCATTCTGCTGTGGAATAATGGTATCCAAGCAAGTCGAAATTCCAAACATGAAAATAAACAAATAGCAGCCAGTTTCAACAAATCAAAATGGTTCACATTTCAGTCACACAGTCAGACATTCTACAGGGCTGCTACATGGTCTAACAGGCTATACAACATGTTTTCAACAAAGGATGCAATGCAATCCTCAAGTGAGGTGCTATGGAAAGTAATCCCCTGAAAAGGCAGCCCGACACGGGGTAGGACTAAGTGGAAACTTGAGCCTGAACCTACAACAGGTTTAGCTGTATTGGTTGTGTACACATACTGCAGACCTATACACCAACGAGACAACACTTCACTAATTAAGTCTCACTTAGAGTCTTGCTGACAGACTGGCTGTTTCGAGACCACCTGGTGAGATGGCATAACTCACTTTTGGATCAGCTCCTCTCTGGTATTCTGGCACTGTCTCCGGACAAATTCTTCAAACTCAGATGGCAGGAGGGGGAGGCTGGTGGAGAAGAGGTCCTCAAGTCTGACAAATCTCAAAGATGAGAAGCTGTAATGAGAAATGATTAGTTATTATTTGGACCGTCTTTGTTCAAGATATTTTTTACGTTTACAGTTTTTGTCTCATCAAATATGACAAACTAATACAGAAATTCAACATCACACCACCATGTTGATGCTATTTTGTTGTTTTATCTAACACCATATCTCTGGTGTCAAAGAGCAGCCAGAAGCTCTAGTGATTTAGCTCTAAAGCAATATGAGCAGTATCAGCTGGAGGAAATATACATTTCCTGTTTTCCTGTTTCAATCCCATTTACTCATTCAGTGAAATGTGGTATTCATTGAATGGACAGTGCATTACACGTCTGTATTACCTGTTTCGCCAGACATCTTGCAGTAGGACCATGAGGGGACTGACTCTAAAGAGATGCTGGCTTTGCCACGAGTGCGCTTCCCTGTAACTAGCTCCCCAGGGCACAGGTGCATGAATCACTCTGCATGGGAAGGGCTTGGGAATGTTGGATATTGACAGTCGCTGGCGTTCAGACGGGTCCATTAGAATGTAGTCCACTGAGAATAAACAAGAACAAATACATCAGTGTTAAAAATTCAAACTGTATGCTTTAAGTGTCTAGATAAAGCAACGCTGCCAATAACTGAAGAATCACTGGAGCTATTGTTTTATACCTATGCTCTTCTTGAGACCGAAGTCATAAACTGTTTTGATCTCCTCTATCAGGTTACTCCTCAAAGTCCGGATATTTTTACTTGTATCCTTAGTGTCAGGAGGCAGCGCGCGCAGGAATTTCATCATCTGTTGCTCTGGCTGTGGGGCCAGCACTGAACTGGCGACACCATTGGTGATGTAGTACATATACCTCTGTGTGAGTAAAGTCCAGTTCATCAATGCGTTAGAAAAACAAGACTCTGAATAATCAGCAAGTGTTGCTCTGAACTGAATTCGCTGATACTTGCTTGTAAGTCTTCCTCAGTAGGTTCAGTCTGTGTGGCCCTCATCTTCTCCTCTTGGCTGTGCATGATATCCAGCTGCTCCTCTGGACTCAAAGGCTGGCTGCTGGGGGTGTAAAGGTTTATTGTATCCCTGTGAAAGAAGGAAGAATTCCGATCAAGTGCTGGAAGATAAACATATTTATTAATGAACTTAGTTGTTATAAGGGCATAGTTACCTTCTTCTCGATCTAATTTCATTTCTCCTTTGTGGGAAAGAAGCTAAATGCTTTATTAAGGTCAAAATCCATTATTAGAAGTTTCTAGGGCAATATTAAGTGATCACCAGAAAGCGAAGTAAAGAAATATCCAATTTCAGACAGACCTCCCTTTGTCACCTATACAACAATGTGATATGAGAACTTTAAAGGATACAAGGCTCTGCTGATTTTGGCAACGACTGACGGTGCGTGCATCGTCTCTGCTGGAGCTTATTAATTTTCAGGTCCTGGGCACAGGGGCTGAAGTTGTTTGCAATAGACTCACTGGGAGTGCGGCTATGACGCTGCTCTTTCAAAGGAGCTGCCACAGTCATACAACTGGGCTGAAGGATGGGTGGGTAACTGCTGTGCCTCAAGTACATCTAAGGTGAAATAACAGAGTGAATGTTAAAGATTGTGGCACACAGGGGTTGACAACTTACATGTTCTTATGTAATAGAGTGATTGACATCCTTACTTGATGCATTTCTGAGGGTATTGCGCTACAAGATGCTGGGAAAGGTGGGGGTAAAAGAAATCCTCTGTTCTGACTCATATCACAGACAGAGTCATCCTCCATCTGTAGCTCACACAAGAACACAGAATGAAATATATCTTATGAGTTAATATTTTTTCTACACAAGGGACAGGTCAGTAAATGAATATTGACAACATCGCAATGTAATTTTCATCATTGGGAATATGACAAAGGTTCAATTTATATTTATAGAATACTTATGTTGTGGCAAGGATTTTTAACACATTGATCTGTCTACCTCAGATTGTAAAATGTTTTGCTGGTGTGTTATATGGTAATGTAATAATAAACTTTTATTATGTAGCACTTTTCTTAATATTACAAAGTTATTGTCATTTACTCAGGAGAAAAAAAATAGAAAATTAAACTTAAAAAATTAAAGTAATGTTTGACCATTACTACACAAGTCTTATTCATTCAACAGATGCACAACAGTCAGGTAAATGCCTTATTATGTATTTTTTTCATTGTAGTGTTTAAAATGAAATATTTAATCACGTGAGTGCAGTATAACATTCATACTTTTCATGCAGTATTGTAAGTGCACACAATTCTCTAATTGCAGAATTAATGTAATTCTGACCATCTAAACGTGGCTCCCTGGCCTCCTTGACACATTACATCCTGCTGATATTATTATTATTATATGGATCATTTTCACACATTAACGTGATGATGTCACCTTCGTCAGTCGCTCCATGTTGCTCAGCTTTTCAGCAGTAAGATCGATCAAATCGTGTCCGCGGTAACTCGTGGGGGCACTTCCGGTGTCAACGTAACCTGCCACAGTCTATGGTGTAAAGGCAGCTGTCTCTGATGTCACAGTGTTTAGGGGCAGCTGCCTTTGTTCTCACACTGTTTAAAGGCAGCCTGAAAAATGATAACAGATAGACATTCAAAATGTGTAACTATTTGCCTTTGATTTTTTTTTGTATGTGTAATTTGTGCAAATGCAGATCATAATAATAAATTAAATTATAGCATTGTCTTTGTTAATCCCATATTGTGTCATAATAGAACCTTAAAAAGCGCTACAGAGCTGCATTACCAGACACAAACAGCAGGTTTAGGACTGGATTAAAGTAAGTTCAATATTAAGAAATCTTTAAAGGCATGAACATTCATCAGCCAATGATACATTCATAACAGCTTCACACCATCAGCATTTCAGACACAGGAGTGAATGCATAGCACATTTGAGTCTTTTGTATATAATTTATTGAAAATAAAGCAGTGTTCCAGTTTCAGTCATTAAGCATGTTCCATCGACATCACTGCCAAGTCCTACCACATTCGTGTGTACCAGATTGTTGAACATCGTTTTAACAGGAGCTCAACTCTCTCTCTCCATATATATATATTATATATATATAATATATATATACAAATGATGCCTGGCTAAAGGTCATTCCACAGAAAGACACAGTCAGTTTGAAGTTTGAAGTTGTGCTGACTCCACTCGTTGCTAAGCGGCGTTAGCTTAAATGTCTTCAGTCAAAGTTTCCGTGTAGAAGCTGCAGAGTGAGTGAGTATTACCGTGTTAACTGGACATTTACAGAACTAGTTTGAACACAGTCAGCTTAGTTTGCGCTGTTCATACCTGTGGCCATCGCTCTGACCGAGGGGGAGCCATCACGTTGCCGTTCACACGCTGTTGTCAGGGCTCGCCACTGCCTCGTCGCTAGGGCGGACTGTTTTATCAGAGAGATGCTGTGGTGGGCGGGGCCCTGGGCGTCACTCCCGTACAGGTCACACATCCCCTCTGTGAAATACTCTCACAACTACATAGAACTACCATTATACTGTGATACTAGTACACTGGGTTGAATGAGAGTAGTTCCTTTACATGTCGGTGTGGGGGCAGAGCGGTGGGTGGAGTGGATCTGCTGTGTTGAGTGTTTACCTGGGAACAGTGTTCTGCCCTCCGCTGGCAGACAGGCTCTCTGCAGCTCCCTCACGATGGTTCGATATCACATAAATAGAAAAGTGGATGCAATGTGAAATTGCACAAAATTTCAAATATTCTATGCTCAAAATATTTCCTAGCGTGGATGGTTTAAGTTCTCATGCGTTTTGCACAAATAAAATACATAAATAGATAAATGAAGTGGGTGAGTGATTTATTTTTTTCTTACAAGTGGATTTATTAACATTATGTCCAAGCCTGGCATGAGAGAAGGAGGCAACTGGAAAGAACGATGATGTTAACATCATTAAGGGTCACTGTGCTCTCACAAGAATGTACATTTAAATCCTAATCAAACCAAATCTGTGCACTCAATGTCCATGAGCTTTTAAATGATGAATAACGACAGATAAGTGCCCAAGAGAAAGGACTGTGGTCTGATTGAAATGTCCCCCAGGAATATGAAACGCCCTGCAGAAACTATGGAAGTAAATTCTTAGCATGACAGTTTGACTGCTATATCTCCGTGTAATTATACACAGTGATTAGATCAGAACTTACCTGCAAAGTTAGATAAAACTTTAAATCATATATCTAGCATTTGATTGGATGGATTAGTCACGCGGTGTGGGCGTGGTCTCGATCGACGTGAGGTAGTTGTTGTCGGGCAGAAGAAGCGTCGCGCCATTCCCTTCCACCTTGATCGGCTAATTTATTCGTTTTAAAGATTTTAGAAATGGTAAGTTCCAGCCAGCGTGTCGCGTGTACATCGATGTGTTGTTACGCTGCCCGTCACGGAGTCACTTTGCTTGGCTGAAAGAATTCGCCGACTTGTCAATCAACACGTTAATTGCTGTGTCGGTTTTAGCTAACTTCGCCCTTAGCCACCAACTGAAAAAGGCGCACTAGCTGCTAGCCTAACGTTAGCCGGGGTGAGGCGGTTATGCTACATCAAAGTTAGGCAACAACTTTGATGTCAACTTGTTGCCGCAGTTTACCGCCAACTTTTTTGTCGATGCTATTTTCGTTACTTTGCAGCAGCATCTTTTCAGATCTGAGCTAGCTTTCCAAAAGCTAACTTTTTGCAGAATTGTTATGTCTGAAGATGTGCATTACGAGGAAGTAAAGGGAGCTCTTATAGATGTAAAGTTGATTTAATCCTATCCTTATTTTAATGGTTAGCCTGATCAGCACATGGAGATGTTAGCACCAGATACAATGCACAAGTCCAAGTTCATTCTCATGAGGTTGTTTAGCATTGCATGGGATCCTGAGAATTAATTGTGATTGATCAGTGATAGATCAGTGATAGATGAGAGTAGAAAAGTGTGAACTTGCAGACTCTGTTTTACTTTCTTCATGTGACTCAAGAATTAAAATTGTATTGGATGTTAGGACGTGTACAAGCCCAGGGGCAGACGCCAAACTTCATCCTCCTCGAAGTTGTCCAATGGATACGTCCTGCCTGAGGGAAGACTGACCCCCAATGCACTGTTTGTCGGTGGGATAGACTTAAAGGTAAAAGTCTGACCTATTTAGTTAACATTTACACTGCTTCTTTATGTTGAGTATTTATCGCACACAAAATTGGGCCCAGATGTGTGAAATAATATTTGATAGACATCAAATTTCTGCTAGAATTCATTTAAATACTCACTTCACAAGTTTCCAGGCCATAGCTGACCCTACCTGCCTTTAAAAGATGGATTCGTTTAGACTTTTAATGATTACTCACTAGAAATATTAGAGGGTGGGGGGTTGCACTGGTTGTGCCCACATGCTGCTAACTTAACCCACTAGCATTAACTGAGTGCTTTTAAGTATTTATCAGGTTCAAATACTGTACTTTCCTTCATGCTTGCTGCCCACACATTTAAAATTTATTCATTTCAAAGTTTTATACTACTTAATATCAAAGTTTCAATGTAATTGCATAGCGACACATTATAATATGTACACAAATTGGTCTCTGGGGTAATGAATAAAAGTTGAAAACCACTGTGTTGTTGTTCTTGAACTGTACATAGAGACATTGCACAAGTGCAGGGCTTTGCTTTTCTTCTACACTTAATAATGGAGTGATTGTGATCAAGTCAGCTAATAAAATACAACCTTCACTTCAACACCTTTTAACCTTCAGGTGGAGGAAAATGAAATACGCGACTTCTTTGCAAAATATGGCGTAGTCAAGGAAGTGAAAATTATCACATACCGTGGAGGAATCTGCAAAGGGTGAGTTTTACTGTGTAGAGATGTTCAGGTGAGGTTGCAAACTTTTGCCTTCGTTAAAATACTGATTTTGAGTTCATCTTAAACATTAAAGCAAATCTTTTAAACATAAGTAACATATCTGATTTATCTGCAATTGATTAATTTGACCTGAAGTTATTATTTAGAGTTTAGAATTTCCTTGTTATAGTGCTCATGTATGTGTTTGTTAATTTATCTGCAAGTGTATATGTGTAAACCTTTAGGTTATCTATAAATGAATTTGTGAATATTTTTTAACTTGTCCTGAGCTCTATTTCCATATTTAATAGAATATTATTGTTATTTTGTGTGTCCTTAGTTATGGCTTTGTGTACTTCAATGAGGAGGTCAACATTCCATCAATCATTGAGGTGAGTAGACATCCTTCTCTGAAATTCCCAACCTATTATTTTTTAGAGAGTAACGATTTTCCTGTTCATATTTTCTTTTCGTTAGGAACACATCAGTTTTAAGGGCCGGAAACTCAAGCTGGGCCCCGCAATCATGAAAGAAAGGAGTTTGCGTACGTTAATGTCATTTGGAACTTCATTTGAATGTTCGGTTCCCAGTGAAAATAAATATGTTTCTACTAAATACACATTTTATTTTTCTTCTTCTCCCATCCAGGGTCCATGCCATCCTGGTCTGGCGCAGCTCATTGGACGAGCCCCACCCAGTACTTCTACTGTGCTTGCTGCTCACCTGTAGGAGGTGGTGTGGCACAACCTTCACCCATCCTCAACGGAGGCAGCCCCTACCCTCCGGTAAAACACACACACACACATATATATATATACTAGCTATCAAGACTTATGGTATGATATTATCATTGCTAACAATACCCAAGTGTCTAAAACATCACCCAATGCAGTACAAAACGTCAGTGCACTAAAATGAGTTACCTCTTGCTGGATTCTTTTGGTATTGGTTCCAAGATTTTCACTGTGTATCTTTGGAACACTGTCTGCTACATAAACATCTCTGTTATGTGATTGAATGTGTTTTCACTTTTGCAGCCATACTCCTATTCCAACTTCGGAGGAGGTGTGATGGTCCCACAGATGCCAGTGAACTACCCACAGAATGTCTTTGCCTACCCGGTACATGCACTCACACCCATGCATTTATTTAACAGCATCCTACGTAGGGTCTACCAGACACTGCACATATGTTACTACATATGAAACAAAGGCCTCAGCCTGGTTTACTGCCTACCACCTGTAGGCCCGCCTACTCCAGACTACACACACACACACCCCCCAACATCCCTCTGTTTACCTGTCCGGGGTTCCCTGTTGCCCTCTGTTTGACCACTGGTCCTTCTCCCGCACACGCAGTACACTCCATCTCAATGGACGGCGGACCAGAGGACACAGCCTGTCAATCAGGTGACTCTATATTTACTGGGAATAAGAGTAGATGTCAGTGTAATTAAGTTTCAAAGCAGCTCAGATCACTTGTCATGTGAGAACCTCACATGACAAGGCCGTTGGCCTGAAAACACTGCATGCACCTGAGAGAATTTCAAAATCCACTTGATCAGGTTAAATTAATAATGTTGTATTAATCAATTGGTGAGTATCTTATTAAATTAAAGACTCCTAGGATGGTCACTGTTTCACCTAATACTTGTTTTTGGATTTTTCAGTAGTATTTGAAGGAAGAGTTCCCAAACTGCAGTGTTTGATAATCCCACTAGATGGTGCTATCTGGCCAGTTTTTTTGGCTAGCTTTTAAAGTGGGAGGTGGGCCTCCCTAGGAGAGCTCCAAACTGTTTCTGGGGAGGCTCAATGAATGGAAGTGAAAAATATTGCATTAATTAGTAAGAGGAGATCACATAGATTAAACTAAATGTATGTGATTTGGTTAAAGAGATAGTTCAACGTACAATAGCAGATTTGATCTTTTTCTAATTTTCTGTGAGTCACAATCTAATAAATACCTGAGAACAGATCTTTTCTTAACATGGCAAATCACTCAATTATTTAGTGTCAATTGGATTCAATATCTTAAGCATTGTCACATAGGCATCTATAAATTAAGCAAAAGTAAATGAGTAAACCAAGGTAAGGGTGAGGCTGCACCTTTTTCCAAGAAGGCCCACGCTTTCTTTATCTAAAAGTCAAAAATTAAAGTTCACTATCTAAAAGTATAAACTACATGATTCAACAGTGAATTCCTTTATTTCATCTGATGTACAGGACAATTAGTGGCACTTGCTATGTTTTTGGGAGCTTGTGTTATTGCAGCTTCTCTTCAAGGTTTCTGTTATGAAGCTCATTTTGTGATTTTACTCCCTTTTCTAGAGCTTTGTGGACTGTGGAGTCCAGACTATGTTGACTGTGCTGTAGTCTACAGATACAGAGCCTACTGCCAGGTAAAACCCCAGCCAAACAAACAAAAGTGCTATCCTGCGAGGGATGCAGTAGCTATTGGTGTGTCAATGGAGGCGTCATCCCTTTATGGTGTAGTATTTAGATGTGGGGGCACTGCATATTGTTAGTTTCCATTTCACCTGGCAGTCAATGCCACTTTGCTCCTTCATCTATGTTGTTTTGCAGTCATGTCTAGCATTAATTAATCAATTTGTCTTCTTGTATCTACTGATAGATTAATACTGATTGTAGGAGGGAACGACCATGTGTATGCAACATGGTTATTTGTGTTTGCTCCCTTTCTACAGGCTACAGTGCTGACAGGATGGACAGACAGACATGTTGATGTTCCGAACACCCAGGAGCATCTCCCCAGACCGATTTTCAATATGCCTTCCTTTCACCTCAATTTCTGAGACCCATTTTAGCACCAGACTGGGAACTCCCCACTTTAATGTACGCGTTTGATCACAGTCACTTTAACCACAATTGGTAAGGTTTTACCTGTGATCGGCGGCTTTTAATCCACTTGGATCACAGTAACAATTGCACAGGAAGAGCAAAACACCCTCACTGGACCAGCTAATATATGGGCTCAAGTTTGTCACTCTTTTTTGTGTTTTCTTTTTGTTATTTATCCCCAAACAAAAGGTACAAAAGACTTTTAAGTTCACAAATTGTGCCTATTTATATTTTATGTTGTATTTACTTTTTGCATTTTTTTGGTTTATTTATTTTAGCACCTGCAGTGGCTCGCAATCTAGTTGTTTGAGCATTGGAGTATGCTTCTATAACTCAATTTCAGGCCAATTGCTTCTCTGCATTCAAATTTCAATTAACTTGTCTAATATGGCATAACAGCACTTGGCCATTCCAATTAATTTGTCATTCATTTCAAACACTCATGTTATCGTTATTTTCTGGGGGGCTGTTTTTATTCCATTGGGTGTCAGTCGAGGTGGTAAATGAAGGATGCCTGATCATTATTACTGAACCAAACTTTCCAGGGTTAGTTTCACAGAGCATGGCACACTGATCATCCTTTGTGACACATTTCAAACCATCTCCCACCCTGTGACCACACCCCATCCAACTTTACCAGGGGTTCACACTCAAAGACAATCACGGCATCAGTTTACAATTCCCATCACTTCATCAATCAACTTTTATAATGGGGGGGAGAAACGTGAAAAGCAGTTTTAATCCACTTTGAAAACAACTGTCACTATTTACATTAAGGTGATTTATTTCATCTGTTTGGGGCAAAACAGTCACAGTACAATGTTCACTTTATACTGAGGGAGATTCATAATAACATTTCTGGTTTTAATCCAGTCGCTGGTGATCTTACATAAATAATTTTACTGACATTGCAAGTGCGATCAATACTTGTTTTTTGTTTTTTTTATTCTTATTCATTATATGCACTTGGTATGTTTTAGATTTCATTTCAGGAGCAGCTTTGTTTGGTTGGAGATTCACATTTGGTGTTTGGTACACATCACCTGTTATCCTTTTAGATGGGCGTTGGCCTCAGGATCTCCTGTTTAGACATCTGGATTGAGTTATATTGTTTTGTTCAGAGAGCCTGGGCACCTCGTATGTTTGGGTAGTTAGTGTTATTTGTTAATGTTCACATTTGTGCAGGTTTGAATTTGTCTGAAAAAAAATAAAGTTGAAATGTTCTCATGTTAGCCTATGGAGGTCTTACTGGTTGCTGTTTTTTTCGCACCATTTTGAATACTGGCTATGTGGTTTTTTTGGGGGGGGGAATATTTATTAAATGTTTTTTTACTTGATACTTAGAGTTGGCAGGTGATGATGCCGGAGTGTGGAGCATTCTGTCTGCTGCTGCCACCCCCCTCCATCCTCCATGAGCTGGCTGCTGGGTTTCAGTCAGGGTTGGATTGTCTTGTCTTCCCCTGGCAACAAGCCCCATCATCTCTTGGTCGTTTTGTTTTTGTCACAGTCTGGTGCTGTGACTGGGGTCCCATGGGGTGTCCTGTCCAGGCCATGGCCACCCACCAGCCCCACCCACCTACCACCCAGTCAGACGTTTCTGAATTATGGATAAGTCTGGATAGCTACTTATGAAATATGAATTTTCCAGAGGAGACCTGAAAAACAAATGCCTCTAACCCTAATAAGATGGATGGAGGATACTTTAAACTTCCCACTGTGACCACTGGAGCAAACACATCAGGGAGCAGTTGAAGAAGCACATGCCCATGGTAATTTTTTTTTTTTTACTTATCCTCCTTCCTGGCAGCATTTTCAGTGATTCCTGATAATTTTACAGTAATCTGGTTATTTTTTTATTCTAAAATGATTCATATTGTTTTTCCAAAGTGTTTAGGAGGATCCAGCCTGGCGGGGGAGGAGAGAGGCTGTGAGTAAAGCCGTCCTCTCTCTCCCCTGCACACGCAACACACGCTGCTGACAGACGAGGAGAGAGGTGCACGCAGTCTCATGAGCAGCAGTCACTCAGTGATAGTTTCTAAATGGAGCTTTCGTGTTTTCTTCCCATTGGATCACAGTATCAAGAGCTGCTGTGCGTCTTCCTGAAGCTGTGACAGGGACAGAGAGAGCGTGAAGACATTAGGGAGGAGAGGAGGGACATACAGAAGACTGACTGAAGTGTGAGGGAGCTCTTGGTCCTGCACACACTTCACGCAGACTGGGAACAATTTCCTTGGTGAGTTAAACTCCTGATTATTCACTGTATGAGAAATGAAGAAAAAGCATGTCTACTTTGCAGAACTCAGTCTGAGACGGACTGAAACACAAGTGACCAGAACTAGTTTTAATATTTTCTCATTGTGAAATAGATTTGTATTGATTCAAAACTTTTTTTGCAGTCATAGATAAGTCTGAGGAAACAGTGGCGGATCAAGGATTTTTCTAAATCAGGCCATCAAGGGGCCCAGACTTTACACAGAGTAGGACTGTCACTTTTTATTCGAAATTTAAACATTCATACGAATGTGGGCGGAAACTCAAACTGTAATGATCTATTTGATTTAAAAATAAATCACAGCCTTACAGCGCATCAGACCATCTGAAGCCGGTTGCTTTGTGATTCAGTTTATTTAAATGTATTAAACTGAATTTTGTGTTGTGTAAAACTTAATTTATGGAAAAAGTGACAGCCCTAACTCAGAGGGGCCAACTAACACAATTCCTGATTCAGTTAGGTGCACATCTACATCACTCCTTGTTTACTGTTAGTTCTACAGCTTTCAAACAAAGCCACTTATCATTGAATATATTTTCAAAATTGTTTCCTGTTTAAGCAAATTTTGTGCTTCAAAAAACTTAGAAAAAGTCATATTTATTTATAGTAAGTGACTTGTTTATTTTGAAATAACTATTGACAGGCACTTTAGGGATCAATCAGATTTCAGCTGGGCCAAGTGCCCCCCTTGGCTCTGACCTTGGATCCGCCCCTGTGTGGAACTCTTTCCCAATAAAACACCCTGTGACAGAGAGAAATCCTTTTTGCTTTTTAGACTCTCCGCTCATTTGATATGTGTGATGTTGTGTATCATTTATTTCTTTATTCATGGAGGAACGGAATGAATAAGCCCTCTCTGCTCACTGTCATTGTGTTGAAGTGAAATCAAGATATGCGTGACTGGGTAAATGTGCAGAGCGTAGATGGAAGTGTGTGTGTGTGTGTGTGTG